TAGTATTTGTTTAATGAGATGCGTAGGTAGTAGATTTTTTTGTTATGTCAGTAGCAATTTATGAGAAACTATTAGTTTAGGCTTTAAATTTTTTCATTGACCATGGCAAAACAGTCCCATTCAGATTATTTAGTGCCCCTAAAACATCACTATATTACAATATATCGGTTATCACTTTGTCTTGTTACCTGACTGCATGAACTTGCTAGTAAATAGGCCCATATCACTGAAGAGGCACATAGATAAGGTATATTATTTCAGTTTTTCCTACTGGAGAAATTATACTGCCCACCAAATGTAGGAAAAAAGTATAAACCTGGTGTGTACGTCTTGCTGCTAAAATGGAGGTTGTTTTCTTAATTAAAAAAAAAAGTCAGACTACCTAGAAAGAGCAGTGAGATGTATGGTACAAGTAATTACTCAGAGATATCTTCCAGCTTCTAGATACTACAGATTTGTAAAATTGGATATCTCAAGGTAGAATCTAGCCTTGCATTCAATAGGTGCTCAAATAATTAGTCCTTATTCAACTTTTGTTTTCCTGCACTTCAGATGTCTTTCTATATAACCTGCACTATGAACCAGAGGAACTACTGCAGAGATGCAGACAGTATAACTGACTCTTATAATGGAAATTTCCAGTATAACCAATTTAGAGCCTGCACAACACAAAGCATCTAGATCTGTGGTTGAAAATTAAGCCTCACATCTTTTATCAGTTACTTAGAAACAAATTTGTGAACAACTACATTGTTTCTTCCACAACCTCTATTGTAGTTCAGGACATTCTCTCTCTTTGTTCAATGAGAATTCAGTTTTACACAACAGATAAATATTACCTTTCATGCACCTAGCTACAGAACCAAGGGCCAGACCCCTAACCTTGAGGTCATGACCCCATTTGGGGTCACAACAATAAAAAATGGGGTCACAAAGACACTCAGCAGTGTCGACCAATTATGATGAAAATAACATTAAAAAGAGGGAAACAACGGGTTCCCTTTGCAGGCTGGCAGAGTTCCAGGGCTGCAGGGAGAGGCTGCTGCATACCCTACTGGGAAGGAAGGCCTGGGGGGGCATGTGTTCTTCAGATTTGTGTGCAGGAGGCACAGTTGCACACCGGTGCTGCTGCTGCTGCTGCCGGACAGGCAGGGAGCACCTCGCCATGGCAACACAGTCAGCATAGGGCTCCTGGCAGCAGCACTGAGCCTCCCCACCCCTCTCTCCCCTCCTATGCTGGGTCCCACCTGCTGGGCCGCAAAGGCCCCCAAGGGGGAGGCAGCATGATGGGGAACCTCGAACCTGCCGCAAGCAGCGCTGCCCGCCCTCCTCTCCCACACCCCACACAGGCTCCACTCCAGATGTGCTGCCCAGGGATTGATCTTGTCTGCATCATTCTGGTGTTGCAAAAATTTTCCAATGTTTAAATGGGGTCATGCTGAGAAAAAGGTTGGGGATTAATGATCCAAAGCAAGATATAAATGTATTTTAGGTGCCTAAGTCCAAAACTGTAATTTCAAAAAGCTTCCAGTCATTTGCTGCCTATCCCTGGAAGCACCTACATTTGCTGAGAACTCTCCTCCCTTTCCCCCGCACCCCCTGCCATTTGACTTTAATGTTCCCCAGGCTCCTGCATATGTGCAGTTCTGCTTCTGAAGAAGTCTGGAACATGTCCAGCTTCATATATATCTGTCAAGTTTTCCCACCTAGGTTCCCTAAGGAACTCAACCTGATTGTTGTTCTCAAACCCAAACCAACAGGGTCAGGTTTAACTGTCCAAAATACAGTCTTGGCTCCTGTCTTTTATAACATGACCCAAAGAGAAAGTGATGTCAGTATGTCATTAATACTATATTAGTCAAAATAATTGGCTGGGAAAAGGGAGACCTGGTTTAATTCTCTTATCTTGATGTTCGCACTTGCAGTGCCCAGGAGAGTGACCAGGCAATCAGAGCATAGACTATTCTGGGTGAGGTCCTGCAACCTTTACCCCTTTTATAGAAACTGTACCATTGTGCAGCAAAAACTCAATATTAATTGGGCTAGAGAGAGACAACACAAGCAGGAAGAGCAGTTAGGACAGTCACCTAGGAAGTGGGAGTCTTGGTTCCCAGTTCATGTATTTTATCCAATGACTGTTTAATCCAAAATTTACAAAGAGTCTTTGAGCAGAGACGGGAACCCACATGGCTGACCAGCCTACTAACTGACAGCCTAGTGGCTAGGGGGCAGTAAGAAGTCAGAGGACCTAGGTTTGAACCTCTTTGAGCTGTAAAGGGAACTTAACAAAAGTTTCCTACTTCCGTGGAAAGATCTCCAACTGCTGGGGGGTGTGCTGTAGTCACTAAACTATGTCACAGAGTAGGTGGAGAGTGACATTACTGCCACTTCCTTCTCTGCTCAAGATATTTTTGGTTAAAACTGAACCCTTTTTTTGAATAACAAGTTGTGACTATCTTCAAGTACAGACTTACTGTGGAGTGCAAGTGGACAATGTTGCATAATGCCAAGGGAAGGGTGGGCTATCAGGCATCCTTCTGTTGACAGTGTTTTCTCTTTGTGGCTAGCTCTATGAGAGCGCTCCATTCAACGTGCTGTCAGTTTTGGCTCCTGTTCTGCAGTGTGGTCTGCATACGGAGCCCAGGTGCCCACCACGAGGTTCTGAATTCCACTCCCAGAGGGCAGGGTGCTGGAAAGTTGAAGTTATATTAATTATCATTGGATCTAGTCTGAACTAGATCCACAGAAAAATAAGCTGTTTGTGACATTGAGTGTACATTGATGGTATGCTTTTGATATCCATTTTCCTCTGACAAATCTATTAAGACTATTATGACTTTTATTCCTTTCTTAGCAAGGCAAGCCCCAACAGCTAATATTTTTCAGACTAGGTGCTTTGTCCAAGCACCAGAATAGGCCTGAGTCTAATAACCATCTCTTGTACAATGGGACCCAATTGTCTTTTCGTGAGACAGTCTCTTTGTATCTGTGGTGAGGTCTTGCAGCACTTAGTTAATGGCATGGCAGTCCTGTAAAATTCAGGGCTCAATCTTCAAGGTTTCATCACAAGATCTTTTCTTAATAGTAAGTAACTGACCTTCCTAATCCTCAAAAGAGCATTTTGCCAGTTGTTTTCAGTAGGAAAGATGGTATTGTTATTAGTTCTTTCCTTGGTTTTTTGCATGAAAGGAGGCACCCTTTCAGTTCCTGAGTAATGCCAGAGTGCATCCCTGCCTTGTTATTTGAGCTAAAATTTGTCTTAACTCTCTTCCCTCCCCACCCTTTTTTTCAAATCATGAACTGTGTGGGAGAGACATGTTCCCATTTTATGATTAACACACAAAGGGGATTTGGGATCATCCATAAATGTAGCAGGTAAGTAGCAAAGGTAAAGGCCAGTGGTTTTTGTAATCAAGGAACAAGGAACTATTCTGAGCTCTCTGCTGTGTAGGGTTTATCCAGTGTTCATGCCTGTCAGCTAAAATGTCAGTTTGTCACAACACTGTCACAAATTAGAAGGCAAATCCTGCTGTTCTCTGACCAGTTGCTTCCTTCCCTTATTTTAGCCCTCCCTTAGCTAGAGGGTGAGGAGTACTGTGCCTAGTCTCCTGTCATAATCTGACAAATTGGCTGTCTCTCTTCTTTCTCTCATTTTCTCACTGCTCTTATATTTTCCCTCATCCTTTTTTCTTTTCTCTTTGTTTCAAGCTCCATTTTGCTTGAGTCTTCTTTTCCTTCCCATATCCTCTTCCTCAGACATGCCAGAAAAGTGCAGGCTACTGCACTGGAAGGGTGAACAGAGTTCTGAAATGTGGGTTGGTGGGCTGCTTACTGAGCCCTCAGCCCTGTACATAGCATCATCTCTGATGTTACAGCCATGGGGAAAATATGAAGGGAAGCAGGGTCACTTATGAATTGTTGCAGGAGTCGTTAGCTGTAGAGGTGATGGTAGCACACTCAGGGTGCAATGCACATTGCTTCTCACTAGCACACTGCTGACCAGCTAGATTGCTTCTGGTACTCATAGGGCACATCTACACATTGCCATACAGTGCCGTTGCTATGGCGCCATGCTTTAGCACTTCTGTTTGGAAGTATTAAAGCACGGCACAGTATGGGTGGTGACTGCACTGTGTGCATGGCACAAGGGTAGATTTCTCTGCTATGTCGCTATAGCAGCATGCTATACATGGAGAGCATGCTGTTATGGCAACTTAGCTGGTGATTGCGTGTAGACATATGTGATCACTATGTTGCCATAGCATGCTGTATGGCAATGCAGCACATCATTACATTGCCATAGAGTGACCTGTACATGCGCCCATGTTAACTTGTTTAAGGCTAATTTAGGTAGCCCTACAGCAGGGGTAGGCAACCCTCATCACATGTGCCAGGGTGTGGCATGCAGAGACATTTTGCGTGGCATGCACGCCTTGGAGTAGACAGCGGGGAAGTGGCTATGCTGCCATAATGAGGATCAGACCCCTCACAGCTCTCTTGCCCCCTGCCCCCAACATGCCAACATCTTACAAGTCGAGGTTGTGACCATTTTTTGGCACTCTGCCCAAAAACATTGCTGACCGCTGCTCTACAGGATGATTCTGTCTGCAGTGCAGACCTATCCCTACTGTCTTTGGAGGTGAGGATTTGGGTTCTATGGCATTTTCAAATCATCATGGTCTGCAAATCCTTTTCAAATGTTATAAAATCTCTTTGTTATCATGCATATAACTGAATTATAATCACTCTAATGAGTGAGATCTTGCTTTTTGTATTAAAATGTGTCATAGAGACTTGCTATCTTTAAAACACCTATTTTAATGATTTTTTCCTTTAAAAAAAAAAATCATATTGATTTAAATGCCAGGCTTCTAAAGTGATCCTATGGAGAGCGTACTGTAATGAAGGCAATCTAAAAAGCTATGCTTAATTTGCTTATTTATAATGGATTCAGGCTTCACAAAAGAACAGTAAATAACGGTAATTTTATTTCTTTCCAGCGTTCAGGTGGGGCCTTAGCTATTCCTTTATGTGCATTTCAAGGAACTGTATCTCTTCAGGCCCCCACAGGAAAAACTCTCTCTTTATCTACATACGAGGTAAGCACTGAAGGGCAAAAAATAACACCCACATCAAAGAAAATTGAAGTGTATCGATCAAAGAGCGTTGGTCATGAGCCAAACCCTGAGGATTCTCCTACTACATTTGCTGACACAAGTGTCAAAATTCATTTAGAGGTTCTTGAAATTTGTGACAATGAAGAAGCCATGGATACTGTGTCTATCATCAGTAACATCAGCCAGTCCTCTGCTCAAGTTAGGTCTCCATCCTTGCGCTATTCACGGAAAGAAAATAGGTTTGTTTCTTGTGATTTAGGGGAAACAGCCTCCTACTCACTCTTTATACCTTCAAACAATCCTGACAGTGATATTAACATATCAATTCCAGACACTGTTGAGGCTCACAGGCAAAACAGTAAAAAGCAGCATATGGAGAGAGATGGTTATCAGGAAGAAATACAAATGTTAAATAAAGCATATAGAAAAAGGGAAGAAGATGGCAACAACAACTAGGAGGCATTAATCTGGCAAAACTGATGCTGCTTCTCTGAATCAGCTTATTCTGTCAAACACAACTATAACTGTTTTCTTTCCTGTAACATGTAACTTAATTTTGTTTGCTCATATCATCAGTAAATGTTTTAATGATGTATAGATGGAAAAACAGTAAATACTTAAGTGCTTTTATAGCATTTACTAGAGAATTTCAACACTGATAACAGGTTATTTTTTTAAGTTACTCTAATTTTTAAGACCTTTTCTATATAGATGTGTAGAAAGAACTTTGTTTACTTGTTGGCACTAGGCAACCTATGTATGGAACCCTACAACAATGAAATGATTAAATCATTCCCATCTAAGTAACAAGTCTTTACATTTTTTGTCCTTTGGTTGCAATTCTGCTATGCCATGCCTGAAATATTTACTAGAAAAATGTAGCAAAAGCCAGAGGCCAATCCATGTATTTGGCTACATACAGGATTTTAAAAAGTCTGAGGGCACTTTTGCACATGCTCTGGGGCTGGTGGAGAGGGAGAAGGGGGGGAAGGGAGGGCATGGCACTTTAATTAGAAGGGCTCTAAGAGCCGCTGCAGTTAAAGTACTGCTGCATCTCATGAATTGGTGTACCTGTGCTTAAAAATGGTGGCGGGGGTGCTTGAACTAAAGCTCGTTAGATGAGCTTTAGATAAAGAACCCCTGCTGCCATTTGGAAGCGCTGGGACGCTGATGCAAGAAACACAGGAGGCTCAATTAATCGCTGGAATTCCAGCATGTCAGAGGAGCCTCCACGCTCATGTATAGGTGTCCTAAGTGCTTTAAGTTTTCACTTCTTTGTACACAAATCATACATTGTGCCTAAGTAACTGACAGTCATACCAATCTGGGTAGCTGAAATATAAGCATGCACATTCTGTAAGTAGATAACATGCATTTCACCAAAGTTCCAGTGGTTTAATATGGCTTTTTACAAGTGTGACAATTATTTGGTTTATTTATTTATCCCAGAGAATCTAAGGACCCCCCCATCCTAGTCCCTCACGAACAAAGAAATGTTCCAACCTTATGCAATGTAACTTGATCCGTACAATGGTCACATTGGAAATTTTGAAAAGATCCAAAACACCAATTCTAATTTACTTAAAATGCAATTGTCTGTATCTTCAAAGGTTATCAAGGCCAGACTCAGCCTTATACAAGTACTAGTATAGGAACTGAAGGTCTTTTACACTTCCCCTTAGTAGAGGCCATTGAGGACTCATAAGGTCCATGACACAACCTTGAGTCACAGCTGCAGTAGTTCTGAATATTGTTTATAATCTTTTATCTGTGGAGCTCTTCTTCCAAGCATTTGTCAGTCAGACATTTGAGTTAAACAGGGGTAAAGATCTAATAGTTCAAAATGTTTTAAACAGTTTGAATAAAAATCCAATTCCCTTTCAATTAGTCAGGTTTCATTTCCATGCTATATATAGGATGGCTTACACTCTTCTATATCTGCAGTCATCTACAGTTTTCCAAAGAGAAATCAAGAGAAGGCCTGCTTTTCTGATCAAACATAGGAGGAGAAGGAAATACGCAGAAACTTTATTGTGGGTATTCAGTTGAAATCACAAGCCCACTTTTTCCAGTTAAACTGCAAGATGGAGGGGTGAATGCAAATTACCCGGTTCCCCTCTCTTTGAAAGCATCATAAATCAGGACTTACTTGATTGTAACACTTTGGTGCAGATAATTCCCAAGACTCAATATTGCTGAAATGAAGATGGATCACTCCATGCTTGGAATTGTGGTCCTCATATATTGTTATATTATAGAAAAAATAACAGTGATTTTCAGACACATTGTAAAGTTCTGTGGGTTCTAGAAACACTCTAGATGCTTATACATTTCAGACTTAACTAGAAACTATATTATAAAGAAACTCAACCCTCTATTTCATAAAAAGTATTCAATTTTCTTCTTCTGGTTTTAAGCACAAAACAGACACCCTGCCACCTTTGAAATTATTCTTCCCTTTGCTTTCTACAGAAAATGAGTAGGGCCACATACTGATATCATAAATACTTCTCAGTTTTATTTCAGTTGCCAGGTTTGTATTTATCTTGCTATTGCAAGTCTGGGGGCTCCACAAGGAAATGTAGCAGTCTTTAAACCTAGAATGGTTTGCACAGAAAACAGTAAGGTAGTAGCCTTTCTCATTGCGTTTCACAGTACAGGAAAACTCCCAAGTAAACAAAAGCAAGTGCTTTCCCTGGAGCAGCAATGTGTTGTCTATGGGCCAAATGGTCCAACACACAAGACACTGGTAATTGAGCTGTGACTGAAAAACTGTACAAATGGAGTCCTCCTAAAATGTTTCCTTTCTTCTTGCTATGACACGGCTGTATATTCTAGTGCTGTGCACTGGATGCTTTCTGATTACATGGACATAGGTCAGTGTTTTTATTTATTTGACAAGTTACCACTATCCTAGGCAGCATTCACATTGAGGCAACGCATCTCTAGGTGGCCTGGGCTGAAGGGGCAATGTTTTTATTCCAGAGAATCAGAAAGTATTATTCCAACACTGAGGAGTTGTTTTATTCATTATTGGTTTACTTGCTTGTCTCCCGAAGAGGGACTGGAATTGTGTTTAGAATATGAATAGATGGTGTGTAGAATTCTGGTGGGCATGTTTAGGCAAGGTTAAAATTTAGATGAATTAAAATGTAACATAAATGTCACCTTCAACTTGACCTAATTGTAAAGTACTGTTTTGCTGGTGTATAATAAAAAATAAATTTTCTTTAATTATGTCTGTAAATTTGCTAATGTACTAAATGCCTAATTATTTTATGGCTTGCTTTAAAATGGTTGATACAATTAAACATTTTAAGCAGTATGAAACTCCAGTCTTAATTATTCAACAGACATGAGCTACCTGCACATTGCATTAGAGACCTTGACTCATTCTCTCCTGCTTCCAGTATTAATATGTGCTGTAAACTGTTCTCACGTAGCATTTTTAAAAATCTAGTTTTTAAAAATGCTTTCACAGTAACTACTGAAAATATTTTTATCCCTTTCCCTTTGCTGGCTTTTTTTCTCTGGATGACCTTTATATATGTCAACAACAGCTTGACATTTGAGGGCAGAGAGATGGTTGTCAAAGTGACCTTTTGAAGGTGACTTCAAAGAGAAGAGCTCCATTTGCGTACAGGAATCCCAGAGGCAGGAGCAGAAAAAAAATCATCAGGAAAAAATGAACTGTGTCTAGCACCTGAGAGCATACTGGACTGATGTGACTTTGAGTACTGAATAATACAAAGCACGTAATAGCAGAAGCTGTGAAACAGACTCAGGCCAATCTCTAGAAAACAGAGTATTCAATGGGCCAGATTCTTCTAGCGACACCAGTGTAAGTTGAAAGTAATTCTAAATAAATAGGACTACAACTAAGGTAAACCTGGCATACAGGAGTTCAGAATCAGGTCCTGTATGCCCTATTGCAAAGGAATATGATATTTCTTTATAAAATAAGTACCCCTAAAATATTAAAACCGATACTGTAATCTTGATGTAATTTTAAAAAATCATATCATTTTAAAATAGTAATGATTTCCTGTAAATTAATGATTAAGTGCTACTTTTAAATTGTTTTATTTTTATAGGTTTCAGGTTAGCACTATAATGATATCAAAAGGTGAGTGTTTAAATATTATGTTTCCTTCTCATAATCCTGCTTTTTAAGATCAAACAAAATGTCTCTCTGTGGTTACAACACTGATGTGCATCTCCTGTACTTCTCACAAGATAGTCTAACAAGTTCTTTGTCTGTACATGCATAATTCTCACTCACACAGACAGGCCCACTGACTTTGTCATCACTATTTGTATGAACAGAGATTATTCACTAGAGCAAGAATTGTGGAATTGGGTCCTTTCTTAACATGCTGCTTCATTTTCACAGCATGTGAGCTAGTATCTTCATTGTACTACAGAGATGAATCTTAAATTCTGTCTTTTCACATTATAATAGTTTAATATTTTTCATTAAAAATGACACTTTATTTGATGGGATTCTCTCTCTCCCTTTAAACTGCTGAAAGGAGTGCATTATCCTTCATCTGCTCTTTTAGGATAGGCTACTACACAAAGAAACTACCCTGTATGCGTTCATTATTTTACATCAAGATAATGTACTGCTGACTTGGACACAAAATGAATATGAACAGCAACCAAAAGAAAAGGAGCTTGAAAAAAAGCATAATAGTTTTCAACTTACTGAGATTACACCAAGAAATATATTCCATCCATATTAGAAAATGATACTTATGTGAATAGCAGCACATTTATTAGCATTTTTGGCTCTTAAGTATGTTTAACCACACAGACATATTTGCATATATTTGTTTGACTTGATTTTTAAACTCTGCATTTTTTTGTATTTTTGTCCTACTGTAGGAAAATGACTGAACTGTACTTGTTTTTTTCATGCAGACAGAAACTTCCAGATGAGCTGATATTCCATTGACTTTAAGCATGTACATTGCTGAAGTATCTTGGTCACCTGAACTAATTTGATTGCCTGTTCTCCAGATTCATGAGAAATAAGGACCCAGTTGTTGCAACTTCCAGGGACACTTTCTTCAGTCCCACTGCTGCAAGTTCAACATTGGGAGTGTATAAGCATTCAAATCAACAGGTGGAAATTAAAACACTTTAGATAAAGCAGTTGAAAACTCTACCAGTTCTAGGTTGTAGAAGAATGCATCTGTCTGGCTGCCTGCTCGACAGACTGACTGCACAGCAGAGGGCACAGTCAGGGCACCCCACAGCATGCATCAGAGCCTGTTTTGCAGGCTCCGCTGTCTACCTGGAGAGAGGTGACAGCGGGGAAGGAGCCTGTCAGGGCTGACTGGCTGTGATCCAAGGGGACCACACACTACTTCTCACAACACCCACTCCCTCCCAGCCTTTCAGCTGTTAGGTTACTGGCTGAATCTTTTGAAACTGGGACTCTGGCCTCAGAAGCTGGGGGTGAGGGTTGC